TCTTTCTGAAAACCCTTGAGAGGTAAGTACCATGTCTACCTAAAGACATTAAACTAAGCGCTGACTGGGAGGCAACCCAGTAGATATATTTTCTCTCTGACAAAGAGCAAAGTTTTGGGGTGGTTAGCCATAACCACACCGCTCCCAAAAGGAGGGAACGCCTGATGTTCCTCTCCAAAAAGTCCAAATAAAGTATGTTCCGTTCCAGGAACGTAGTTTTGGGGTGGTCCCTGACCACGCAATCCCAAAAAGTAAAAATAAAAATAAAATTTTAGCTTAGTTTGTTTTCAATTCTGTTTTTAATTTAGTTTCTTTTCGTTCCCTTGTAATTAATCTTTTTGAAATAGAAAAGACTTTTTTGATCAAACTGTTTGGTATATGCATACATTTCAGTTATAGTATTAAGACTGCCCAATTCTTTTGGATTAACTAACATACATGAAACACAAAGTCACTGGCTAATCATGCTTGTTCTTTCACTGAGTACTTGAATATAGAAACTGTACAGGGAATTTAATCCTCAGATTTTTGAAAGAAGCTGATCTGTGTGAACTCAACCTGGCAAGGAACGGAAAAATGCCAAACACCTACTTCTGAGAGCGTTCCTGAGGTGCAACCACAATGAAACTTCTCAGCTTGCCTTAATATTGTAAGTACTGCTGAAGACAGATGAATTCAACAAACAGAATCACACACTCACCTCACCTCCATCATGCACCATCTGGTCAATCAAAAAGGACAAGGAACGTACTCAACAGTGAACAAAAAGGACAGAAGGGGAACAACCATTCAAAAGAATTCAAGAAAAAAAAATCAGAAGACCTTCCTCCAAAGGGGGAAAAGGCAAGAAAAGGTGTTCCCTCAAAACAGAGAAAAAGGTCCAAGTTCAAAGGCACAAAAGCTAAACGTTCCTTGATCCCACAAATCAGACCACCATTTCTTCCACATTTCCATACACTTAACCATCAAAAAATCCTTGGATCGGAAGACAGCTGTACTCCATAGGAACGCAGCAGAAAGGAAAGTTCTGAAGAATCACATCCAGCAATGGACAGAGCAAACACCAACCCATGAGTGACAGTGAGACAAAAGATCAGCAACCTTCTCTTATTTGGGGACAGAATCCTCTTACTGTTTACTGTGGAGAGTAGTTCATTTTCTGAAAAGTTCATGGTTGCTCACTGGCTCAAGTTCCTTTCTGTTATGCTAGTCTTTTAAATTGGACAGACCAATACAATATTTCTGAGTTGTTTGAGGACAATCAACAGTTTAGTTTTGGGGTGTTTGATGGGATGTAAATCTGTTCCCATCTAAGCCCATTTTGATGGCAAAATACCATACGTTCCCTCATCTGATGAGCAACTTCAGCATGAAAATCACTTGTTTTACACATTTGTGACAAAAACACAGTGGGGGAACGAATGGTAATGTATTCCTTTAAAATATATTAAAAGGGGAATGAACTGAGACGCATTTAATGAACCTGCTCCATTCATTTAATGCTTCTGTACACTTTGCAGATAACGTAGAGTTAAAGACTTCTAAAAAGCAAAGCGGTGCACCAACTGAGCAGCTAGAAACGTGAAGAGCAGAGAATCAAGAGTTCTCATTGGCTGAAAAAGAAAGCAAAACATGGGAAGGTCTACAAACAACGGTTAATCATCACTAAATCCTGTTCCATCCAGCAATTCACGCAAGCTTCACACTCTGCTGTCACAGTCCCGTCCCCTCATTCAAGCAACTAGCTCCAAGGGAATTACAGTCTTGCCACTCATCTTCCAGCTATAAATAGGACCACCCTCACATAAAAACATCATCGACTCCTGGAGGGTTTGAAGTCCAAAAGGAAGAGATCACCTAGTAGTATTAGTAGTAGTTAGTAACTTAGTTTAATTTCAAGTTGTAACTGTAAACAACCATCGAGACTCCTCACGAGCAAATACCCATATTTCTCCATTTTCTGTTTCTTTTTGTAAACTGTCTTTTAAATTAATATAAGTGTTTTTCTTTTCGTTCCAATCATTATCTCTTGACTGAATCTCGGGTCTATGTGATTTCAGTTGAGAATAATTATGTTTAAACTATCAGCCATGAGCTGAACTATCTGTGGAACGGGTAAACTGTGAAACTCTTAAAGAACTGTTTTCAAAACTCTTGACTGAAGCTTTTTGTATTTCTTTGGCTAAGTAAGCTATATTCATTGTGCGCCAATGGAAATTGGGTACATACTGAGAAAGGATCTTCCATAAGGAAGGGATTTCAGACAGCTTAGCCATTGGGGGAAGGTAGATGTCATGGCAAAAACGCTACTGGTCACCTTAGGAATGAGGGGCCAACTCGTCCATTTTAAGGTTCTGAACTAAGTACCTGTTGGAGTCAAGGGAGCCATAGGAATATGGAAACTTGTGAGCCATCTAGACCATAAGCTGAGGAATCAGAGTTGGCAGGCAAAGAAACTGGGACAAAGCCAAAAGGTGCTAAGTCTTGAGCAGAGAAAACAGCCCCTTCAAGAGTGAAGCAGTGAATCCGTTCCTTTTGTTAAACTGGTTTAACCACCACCCTGTTGTCTCTTGATTATAGTTATTTCTGTTTTAGTAGTTTTTATTCTATTTAGTACTTACAAAACTCCAATGATTATGATCTCACCTTCTTCTAAACAGGAAGGGTCACATATATAACGCAGCAAGCAACTGTTTGCCACCAGATTGAACCTACTGTTCCTGAGGAACATTGTCAAGACAGTAGGGAACGTTTGACCAGATAGTTCATTTACTAACTTCTCTTCTCATTTTCATTCATTATAAACAGTGATAAAACAATAATTAGCACTCTATCCTCGTGGGAACGATAATTTGGGCATTAATACTCCCTTTATTACTTGATGCGTGCACTTGCGCACTTGGGTTGGAATTGAGGGACGAATCTGTGTTCTCCAAGAACAGAGGAACGTCCCCTATCAGAACTTATATTTTTTCACCATCAGCAAACCACCCAACAAGTTTTTAGCGCCGTTGCCGGGGATTGAAACATTAAATGTTGTTCTTATCATTGTTTTCTAACACATATACTGTATATCTGACTTTACTTTTATATTTTTCTCTTTATCACTGAATCTGCTGTGCATATATATATACCTGTGTTATTGGTTTATGAGTGAAGAGTTTGAAACAGACTTTGCCCACTCCATTGAAATACCTGAGTTTTTCTTTGATCCTGAACCAGAACGAACACTCCATAGGAGAAGAAGGAACCTCAGGGAGGAAATTCTTGAAAACATGGCTGAGCACAATCACAACAATGAAGAGGTTCCCCCTGAACAGAACTTCAGAACTTTGGCTGCTCTTTTCAGGAACAGACCAGACATGGGAATAATCCTCCCCCCTGTAGCACCAAATTTTGAATTAAAACCTATCGTGTTCTACATGATTAGGGAAGCAGGGGTTTCAATGGACTCCCTGCAGAAATATGTGATAATTTTACACACACCTCACAACATTCCAAGATATCTGTGATAATTTTAAAGCTGAGGGTGTAACAGATGAGAGCATGAGAATGAGGTTGTTCCCTCACTCCTTGGGATTAAAAGCTAAAACATGGATGAAAACTCTTCCCCCTAGATCAATCCACACATGGGAAGAACTCTCTAACAAGTTCATAGAGAGGTTTCTCCCAATGTCTCGACAAGCTGATGTCAGAGCGGAAATCTCTAACTTCAGAATGTTTTATGGAGAAAATCTCTATGAAGCATGGGAGAGATATAAAGACATCATAAGAAAATATCCAAACCATGGGGTGGAGAGTTGGGGAGTGTTACAATCTTTCTATAAGGGACTTGACCATACTTCTCAATCTCACTTAGATTTTGCTGCAGGAGGGTACTTCTTTACAGGAACACTTGAATCAAGGTACGAAATCATAGAAGGGACTGCTGAAAGATGTCTCCAATGGCCAATAGACAGAGTGAGCCCAGTGAGGAAGCCAGGCATGCTAGAACTCGATAAACAAACTGCCATGGAAGCCCAGCTGGCATCACTCATGAATGAAGTGAAGAACCTAAAAGCCGACCAGGCAGCACCAAGGATGGAAGTCTTACAACTCACAGCAGCTGAAACAGAACCCTGCTCAGCCTGTGGTGACCTTCATGACTCAACAGACTGCCCATCCACTGCATTGGTATGTTATGCAGAAAATTTTGGCAATAGGAACTTCACCAAAGATAATCAACAAGCAGGACGAAATACACATTCAAGCCCTGGAGGAACTATCATTAAGGATCAGAACCACAACACTTAATGGAGGCCACCCGTTAACCAATGACCATTCAACAACAATCAGCAGCAATATCAGCAAGGCAGCAGCAGTGGAACGTTAGAACAAAGAAGAAACAACTAAGTTCTGTTCCACAGAGATGACCAACGCATCAACACCCTGGAAAATTATGTCAAGGAATATGTTACCAGGAATGATGCAGTCGTCAGGAACATTGAGTCCCATATGGGACAGATTGCTGCCAACCTTCAAACCAGGACACAAGGATCACTAGCAGGGAATACTGACGTTCCTTCAACAACCTCGCCAAAGGTAGCACCTATCCCCCCTTCAGAGTAAATCAAAGCTGTCACCTTAAGAAGTGGGAGAGCCACAACACAGCTCACAGTCCAACCAAAGGAAAAAGAACAGACTGAGGCATCTGAAGCAATCCCAAAAGCACAGCAACAATCACCAGTCACAGATGAACAAAACCCAGAACCTGAAAAGGAAGCCAACAACCAACCAATCAGTCCAACTCAAAGCAGGCAAATATCAACAAAAATTTCGTTCCCTCAAAGAACAAAAAGCAACAGGAGGATAAGCACTTTGGAAAGTTCCTGGACATTTTAAAACAACTTCACATCAACATTCCTCTAGTGGACGCACTAGAACAGATGCCCAGGTACGTAAAATTCATGAAAGATGTCCTCTCAAAAAAAAGAGGAATAACGGAATATGAGACTGTAAAAATGACACAAGAGAGTTGCCAGTACCTAGGCAAACTCCCACCTAAGCTTCAAGACCCAGGAAGCTTCACCATTCCTTGCATTATAGGAAACACGTACCAAGGGAAAGCCTTGTGTGATTTAGGGGCCAGCATCAATCTCATGCCCCTATCTGTCTTCAAACAATTATCCACTGGACCAGCTAAACCCACCACGGTGACTTTACAAATGAAAGACAGATCCATCGTCAAGCCAGAAGGGAAGATTAAAGATCTGCTAGTCAAAGTAGACAAATTTATCTTACTCGCTGACTTCATTGTTCTGGATTATGAAGCTGACGCTGACGTTCCCATCATTCTGGGTAGACCGTTCCTAGCAACTGGAGGAGCAGTTATCAATGTACAAAAAGGGGAACTAACCATGAGAGTTCATGACGATGAGATCAAGTTCAATATTGTCAAAGCAATAAAATTCCAGGATGAAGGAGAAGACTTGGAAGAATGTTCTGCTCTTACTTTGTTAGACAATCAGCTTAGCAGAAAAACAGAGGAAGAAGAATACGAGGAAGAAGAAGAAGATCCACAACAGGAGGAGCAGAGTCACTATCTGCAAGAAAGAAGTCCTGAACCGTTGATAAGAACTGAAGAGGAGAAACAGCTCAAAAGACCTTATGCGGAAAAACCTCCTGATTTAGAACTGAAGCCCCTTCCCCAACACTTGAAGTATGCATATCTGGGGAACAACAACACCCTTCCTGTGATCATTTCTTCATTTTTCACCAAGGAACAAGAAAAACGGTTGCTTGACAAGCTCAAAAAGTATCAAGGAGCCATCGGTTGGACCATAGCTGATTTCAAAGGTATCAGTCCCTCATTCTGTATGCATAAAATATTATTGACTGATCCTAACAGTTTTTCAGTGGAACACCAAAGAAGATTGAACCCCTAATGAAAGAAGTGGTAAGAAAGAAAGTCATCAAGTTGCTGGATGCAGGATTCATATACCCAATATCTGACAGCAGTTGGGTAAGTCCTGTCCAATGTGTTCCCAAAAAGGGATGCATAACAGTCGAGAAGAATGAAAAGAATGAGCTGATACCTGTAAGAAAGATTACAAGATGGAGAATCTGCCAAGATTATAGGAAGCTCAACAATGCCACCAGGAAAGACCATTTCCCACTCCCTTTTATAGATCAGATGCTAGACCACCTAGCAGGGAAAGAATACTTCTGCTTCCTTGATGGATATTCGGGGTATAATCAAATTGCCTTGGCACCAGAAGACCAACATAAAACCACCTTCACCTGCCCATATGGAACGTTCGCATTCAGAAGGATGCCCTTCAGATTATGTAATGCACCAGCAACGTTCCAGAGGTGTATGTTCTCAATCTTTTCTGATCTAATAGGTGAAGGAGTTGAAGTCTTTATGGATGATTTTTCAGTGTTTGGAACGATATATGATCACTTCTTGAACAACTTAAGAAGAAGTCCTTCAAAGGTGTATGTCCTCTAATCTGGTGCTTAATTGGGAAAAATGCCACTTCATGGTGCAAGAAGGAATAGTCCTGGGACACAAAATCTCCAAAGAAGGACTGGAAGTGGATCAAGCCAGAGTAGAAGCTATACCAAAAATGCCACCACCAGTGAGTGTAAAAACCTTGAGATCTTTTCTAGTGCATGCAGGCTTCTACATAAGGTTTGTTAAAGATTTTTCCAAAATAGCTAGACCTTTGTGCCATTTGTTAGAAAAAGATATAAAATTTGAGTTTAATTCTGATTGTTTGAAAGCTTTTGAATCTTTGAAAAATAAGCTCATTACCACGCCTGTCATCCAACCTCATGACTGGAACCTACCCTTTGAACTAATGTGCGATGCAATTGACCATGCTATTGGGGTAGTTCTGGGCCAGAGGAAGGACAAATTTTTCGTAGCATATATTACGCCAGTAAAACTCTCAATGAAGCTCAGGTGAATTACACAGTCACTGAAAATGAGCTATTGGCTGTAGTATTTGCTTGTGAAAAATTCAGGCCTTACATTTTAGGATCAAAAGTTACTGTCCATACTGACCATGCAGCTCTCAAGTACCTCTTCTCGAAAAAGGAAGCAAAACCAAGATTGATAAGATGGGTCCTACTGCTGCAAGAGTTCAATCTAGAGATCACAGAAAGAAAAGGATGTGAAAATCAAATTGCAGATCATCTGTCCAGATTGGAACACATTGAAGTGGGGCTACCAATCAAGGAAATGTTCCCTGACGAACAATTGTTTGTCATTAATCACATAGAGACGAATGCTTCTTGGTTTGCTGATATAGCCAACTTCCTGGCAGCAGGGATGGAACCTTATGAGGCGAATAAAATGCAGAAGAAGAAATTTTTTCACGATTGCAGGAACTACCTCTGGGATGAACCACTACTGTTCAGAAGATGTGCAGACCAAATGATAAGAAGGTGCTCCCAGAAGAAGAACAACCTCAAATCCTTCAACACTGCCATTCGTCCCCATATGGAGGACATCTAGGTGGAATCAGGACTGCATCCAAGGTTCTTCAATCAGGTTTCTTCTGGCCTTCCCTTTTTAAAGATGCAGTTCAATATACAAAAAATTGTTATAAATGTCAAAGAGAAGGTAACTTGACTAAACAAAATGAAATGCCCCTCAATTCGATCCTAGAAGTTGAATTATTTGATGTTTGGGGCATTGATTTCATGGGACCTTTTCCTCCTTTGTGTGGGAACAAATTCATATTAATGGCTGTAGATTATGTAAGCAAGTGGGTAGAAGCAGTTGCTTTACCCACTAATGATGCCAAGGTGGTTATAAATTTTTTAAAGAGGAACATATTAACCAGATATGGAACCCCACGTTGTCTCATCAGCGACGGGGGGAAACATTTCATCAATCGCCAACTTGAGAGGTTGTTGGAGAAATATGGAGTCAAACACAAAGTTGCCACCCTATATCATCCACAAACCAGTGGTCTCATTGAAGTCTCTAACCGAGAGGTTAAGAGAATTTTAGAGAAGGTAGTTAATCATTCTCGAAAAGACTGGTCTCTCAAGTTAGACGAGGCATTATGGGCTTACAGAACAGCACATAGAACACCCTTGGGGTGTTCCCCATACAGATTAATATTTGGCAAAGCCTGCCACCTCCCCCTCGAACTGGAGCACAAGGCTTACTGGGCAGTCCAAACCCTCATCATGGATGATAAATCAGCTGGAGAGAAGAGATTGCTGCAACTCAAAGAATTAGAGGAGGGAACACATACGAAAATCATAAATTGTACGAGGAGAAGATGAAGAAGTGGCACGATAAAAGGATCAGGAACAGAGATCTCAAAATCGGTCAAAAGGTGCTACTCTTCAACTCCAGACTCATACTGTTCCCAGGTAAACTCAAATCAAGATGGACCGGGCCATATCAAATTGTTAACGATGCAGGAAACGGAACCTTTGAAATCCAAGGTTCAGAACATGGTCGTTCCTTCAAGGTAAATGGGCACAGGTTGAAACTATAGAATGATGAAACCTTTGATGAAAAAGAGGAAAGTATCCCTCTTTCTGAAACCCCTTGAGGGGTAAGTACCATGTCTAGCTAAAGACATTAAACTAAGCGCTGACTGGGAGGCAACCCAGTAGATATATTTGCTCTCTGACAAAGAGCAAAGTTTTGGGGTGGTTAGCCATAACCACACCGCTCCCAAAAGGAGGGAACGCCTGATGTTCCTCTCCAAAAAGTTCAAATAAAGTAGGTTCTGTTCCAGGAACGTAGTTTTGGGGTGGTCCCTGACCACGCAATCCCAGAAAAATAAAATAAAATAAATTAAAATTTTATCTTAGTTTGTTTTCAATTCTGTTTTTAATTTAGTTTCTTTCTGTTCCCTTATAATTAATCTTTTTGAAATAGAAAAGACATTTTTGATCAAACTGTTTGGTATATGCATACATTTCAGTTATAGTATTAAGACTGCCCAATTCTTTTGGATTAACTAACATACATAAAACACAAAGTCACTGACTAATCATGCTTGTTCTTTCTCTGAGTACTTGAATATAGAAACGGTACAGGGAATTTAATCCTCAGATTTTTGAAAGAAGTTGATCTGTGTGAACTCAATCTGGTAAGGAACGGAAAAATGCCAAACACCTACTTCTGAGAGCGTTCCTAAGTGCAACCACAATGAAACTTCTCAGCTTGCCTTAATGTTGTAAGTACTGCTGAAGACAGATGAATTCTGCTGTCAAGGATCAAAACAGAATCACACACTCACCTCACCTCCATCATACACCATCTGGTCAATCAAAAAGGACAAGGAACGTACTCAACAGTGAACAAAAAAGACAGGAGAGGAACAGTCATTCAAAAGAATTCAAGAAAAAAAAACCAAAAGACCTTCCTCCAAAGGGGGAAAAAGGTTCAAGAAAAGGTGTTCCTTCAAAACAGAGAAAAAGGTCAAAGTTCAAAGGCACAAAAGCTAAACGTTCCTTGATCCCACAAATCAGACCACCACTTCTTCCACATTTCCATACACTTAACCATCAAATAATCCTTGGACCGGAAGACAGCTGTACTCCAAAGGAACGCAACAGAAAGGCAAGTTCTGAAGAAACACATCCAGGAATGGACAGAGCAAACTCCAACCCATGAATGACAGTGAGACAAAAGATCAGCAACCTTCTCTTATCTGGGGACAGAATCCTCTTACTGTTTACTGTGGAGAGTAGTTCATTTTCTGAAAAGTTCATGGTTGCTCACTGGCTCAAGTTCCTTTTTGTTATGCTAGTCTTTTATTTGGGGTGTTTGATGGGACGTAAATTCGTTCCCATCTAAGCCCATTTTAATGGCAAAATACCATACGTTCCCTCATCTGATGAGCAACTTCAGCATGAAAACCACTTGTTTTACACATTTGTGACAAAAACACAGTTGGGGAACGGATGGTAACGTATTCCTTTAAAATATATTAAAAGGGGAACGGACTGAGACGCATTTAATGCACCTGCTCCATTCAGGAACGTAGTTTTGGGGTGGTCCCTGACCACGCAATCCCAAAAAGTAAAAATAAAAATAAAATTTTAGCTTAGTTTGTTTTCAATTCTGTTTTTAATTTAGTTTCTTTTCGTTCCCTTGTAATTAATTTTTTTGAAATAGAAAAGACTTTTTTGATCAAACTGTTTGGTATATGCATACATTTCAGTTATAGTATTAAGACTGCCCAATTCTTTTGGATTAACTAACATACATGAAACACAAAGTCACTGGCTAATCATGCTTGTTCTTTCACTGAGTACTTGAATATAGAAACTGTACAGGGAATTTAATCCTCAGATTTTTGAAAGAAGCTGATCTGTGTGAAGTCAACCTGGAAAGGAACGGAAAAATGCCAAACACCTACTTCTGAGAGCGTTCCTGAGGTGCAACCACAATGAAACTTCTCAGCTTGCCTTAATATTGTAAGTACTGCTGAAGACAGATGAATTCAACAAACAGAATCACACACTCACCTCACCTCCATCATGCACCATCTGGTCAATCAAAAAGGACAAGGAACGTACTCAACAGTGAACAAAAAGGACAGAAGGGGAACAACCATTCAAAAGAATTCAAGAAAAAAAAATCAGAAGACCTTCCTCCAAAGGGGGAAAAGGTTCAAGAAAAGGTGTTCCCTCAAAACAGAGAAAAAGGTCCAAGTTCAAAGGCACAAAAGCTAAACGTTCCTTGATCCCACAAATCAGACCACCATTTCTTCCACATTTCCATACACTTAACCATCAAAAAATCCTTGGATCGGAAGACAGCTGTACTCCATAGGAACGCAGCAGAAAGGAAAGTTCTGAAGAAACACATCCAGGAATGGACAGAGCAAACTCCAACCCATGAATGACAGTGAGACAAAAGATCAGCAACCTTCTCTTATCTGGGGACAGAATCCTCTTACTG